CCGCGCGGCTCCTGGCACCACGCTTGGCACCGCGCTGCCGGGTACTCCCTGGGTGCCGCTTGGCACCGCGCGGCTCCCAGCACCACGACTGGAGTGTCCCTGGGTGCCGCTCAGCACCGCACGGCTCCCAGTGCCGTGCATGGCACCGCGCTGCCGGGTACTCCCTGGGTGCTGCTTGGCGCCGCGCGGCTCCTGGCACCGTGCATGGCGCCGCGCTGCCGGGTACTCCCTGAGTGCCGCTTGGCGCTGCGCGGCTCCTGGCACCGTGCATGGCACCGCGCTGCCGGGTACTCCCTGGGTGCCGCTTGGCACCGCGCGGCCCCTGGCACCGTGCATGGCGCCGCGCGGCCCCTGGCACCGCGCTTGGCGCCGCGCGGCCCCTGGCACCGTGCTTGGCGCCGCGCGGCTCCTGGCACCGTGCATGGCACTGCGCTGCCAGGTACTCCCTGAGTGCTGCTTGGCACCGCGCGGCTCCTGGCACCGTGCATGGCGCCGCGCGGCCCCTGGCACCGCGCTTGGCACCGCGCTGCTCCTGGCACCATGCATGGCACCGTGCTGCCGGGTACTCCCTGGGTGCTGCTTGGCACCGCRCGGCTCCTGGCACCGTGCATGGCACCGTGCTGCCGGATAATCCCTGGGTGCCGCTCGGCACCGCGCGGCTCCCAGTGCCGTGCATGGCACCGCGCTGCCGGGTACTCCCTGGGTGCCACTTGGCACCGGCGCCAGCACCAGGCAGCTCCCGGTGCCGCTGCTGGCCGCTCCGCGGTGCCGCTCGGTACCGGCGCTGGCACCGGGCASCTCCTATTGCTGCGACCGCGCTGCCAGGGGCTCCATTGGTACCGCTTGGCACCGGCACCGGGCAGCTCCGGCACCTTGGCCAGGCTGCTGGACACTCCTTGGCACCGCTTGGCACCGGGGGCTGCGTGGGGTGCCTGGGGGCGCCCGTGCAGAGGGCACTGGGTGCCCATTGGCACCGGCTGCTCTGTGATCCTGGTGACATCTGTGATCCTGGTGACACTTGGGGACCTGGGTGGCCGTGCCGAGGTGCCACCCAGTGCTGCGCCCACTGGCACCCATGACACTCGGGGACCTAGGTGCCGTGCCGAGGTGCCACCCAGCGCTGCGCCCATTGGCACCAGCTGCTCTGTGACCCTGGTGACACTCGGGGACCCGGGTGGCCGTGCCAAGGTGCCACCCGGCACTGCGCCCACTGGCACCCATGACACTTGGGGACCCGGGTGGCCGTGCCGAGGTGCCACCCAGCGCTGCACCCATTGGCACCAGCTGCTCTGTGATCCCGGTGACACTCGGGGACCCGGGTGGCCGTGCCGAGGTGCCACCCAGCGCTGCACCCATTGGCACTGACTGCTCTGTGACCCCGGTGACACTCGGGGACCCGGGTGGCCGTGCCGAGGTGCCACCCAGCGCTGCACCCATTGGCACCGGCTGCTCTGTGACCCCGGTGACACTCGGGGACCCGGGTGGCCGTGCCGAGGTGCCACCCAGTGCTGCGCCCATTGGCAC